TCCAATGTAACGGAAAAACAACTAAAGTAAAACTAAATAGTAATAATAATAAAATGTCTCCACTGATCTGTGTTGTAAGTGTGATTTATGTATGATTCCAATCGCTTTTTAAAGTCAAAATCAGCAAATGTGCCGAGCTCCGCTACAACTACGGGTAGCGATGAGAAGTGAGGCAGGGACGAGCTCTGCCTCTCGTAAGCCCACAGTAACTTGCTGGAGCGCGGGCACTAATTTAGCGCGCGCGGGCACTTATTTTGTGAGGGCGTTCAAACCAGTTACTGTGGGGTGAGGTGAGGCACAGATCTGCCTCACCTCAGAATGCGTCACCCCACAGAAACTGGCTGGAAAGCGGGCCCTAAGCGCATGCCTGTTACCAATTGAAGTATTATTTGAATTATTTGAAGTATTAAAGTAACGTGTTATGGCAGCAAAGTTAAATCTGGTATATTCATTTTAATGTCACTTTATATATATTCATGTGTGTTAAATTTGAAGGGACAAAGTATATTTTTCCTCCCCAATATATTGAGGTGAAGTCTTTGTGTTTAGAAAGGGATGTGAGCAGGGGACATCCTTGTTTGGGGAAAGCTCCAAAACTCGGGAATGTTTCCCTCATAAAAGAAGAGGGTGCGTTACACATGCTTAGGGCAAATGTGTGTGTTTTCATTGCAGTAAATATATGTGCTGCGTGATTACTGTTCAACTATACCTCTGTTTTTATTCTTTCATGTGTGGGTACTAAATGGCTACAAACATTGTGGAGAAATTAGCTTAAACATGTTTTATTACTCTATATGAAATGGAAGCAGCTTTTATGACAGGGACGAGAGAGCTGGGGGAGGGGACATTCTTCTTAAGATTTTCAGCATGTCAATTATCAGGGAAATCTACTTGTTTTAAATAGATGTGTGTGGTTAATTACTTTGTATTATACATAAAAGTATGTGTAAAGGAAGCTGGAAATAGCAATGTGAAACTTTTATTTGAGGAGTAAGGATGTGAACAATAGCTCAAATGGCTGGAAGAAGGCTGCAGGACAAATGAGTGTGTTCTCTATGTTGGGCCTGTGTGAAGTTGACGATTTGAAAAGCATCTCTAATACTGCTTAAGAGCATACGGTAATGTGTTCCTCGTTACATTGATATGAAGGCTAATTTACATGTATACGTCTATTCTAGCAACTATAACAACTATATCTTTAAAACATATTTTCTAACTTGTGTGTTGGTAACCTGAGGGGGGAGATGGCCCAGAGACAAAGACCATAAGGGGAATGTGTGTGTGCTGGCTGCAAGGATGTGAAATAATGATAAGGAAAGCTTGTTGTTTTAGAGCAGGTTGTTCAGACACCAAAAGGTATCTGGTTTTCGTCAAACTGAAAGGCTTTTGTTCCGGTTTCTTCTGCTGTGTCGCGCTGATTGGGTACGACAGGGCCATGTGTTGGTCTCTCCAATAAATGACCTCAGGGGAGCCATTGGGACACCTCCTCCTGTGTTTTTAGTATGAAAGCCTGTGTTTTCCTTTGGTTCACGCTCTTCTTTTCTTCATGCTGGCCAAGGGTGGTAAGTGTTTAAGGGACCTCTCCCAGCGAGAGGACCAGAGCAGGGGCACCCGAAGGGGGGGGGCCCCTTTTGAATTGTTTTTGTGAGGTCATTGTATGTTCTACCATTAAGCAGATTATTGTTTAACCCTATATCCCTGGCTGCTTTGACTTTTCCTTCTTTCTAAACAAAGCTCATAGAGGATCGAGCAGAATTCTGCCCCAACACATCTCACTGTAGTCACCAAGTGTAATGTTTGTATATCCCTTATTACATTTATTCTGGCCATCCATAGTCTCTAAATAACTTAATTTAACGTATATATATATTTAGCTCGATGGGTCTTCAATTCATATACGGCAATGAAAAACAGCAGGAGAGGCAGCCATAACCCTCTGCCGCACTGAGCCCACAGTTCTTGTTGCTACTGTTATTCTACACAGAGACGGTAGGACACAACAACAAAACTAGACTTTTGAAATTACAGGAAGTTAAGGGACTTCTTTTACAAGAAAAACTAATAGAGATTGTTGATCCAGAAGGAGAGCATGGACTTCATCTTCAAGTCAAGGTAAGACCACATTGTCATGGAAAATGGATTTACTAAGAAAGAACAATCCAATATTTAGATGTGGGTATCCTTTTGTGACCGTCTGTTTACAGAATTGAAGCATCAGCTAAAAAAAGCTTTGAAAAATAGCGAAATTTTCGATTAAGGTCAACATATAATATTTGTAACTGCTCGAAAGAGTCTGAACCTCACGCAACGTCACTGAACCAGACCTAATATGAGATGACAGAATCACAAAGTCTACACAGGTGAATGAACACTGAAAATATATTTATGATAAATGGTAAAAGGGCTTAAGATTACAGTATCAAATGTCATTTAAAGTCATGAAGAATTGTGCTCACCCAGTACTTCACCCTGAGAGGACTGGTGATGTCACCACCTCACAGTGAGATTTATCGGCAGGCAATATGAGAGGCTGTATGATTCCCTTATACCTCTCTCCTCACTCCCGGGGGTCAATTGCAATGGACTTATGCGAGAGGAGAAAGAAGTTCATAGGGAAAATATGTGTGTCAGCTCACATCAGGTCTGTTCCTGCTCCCATGGAACCAATCAACATTTGAAAAAGTATAGAAATCCCTGACCAGTTGGAGCCTATTGATACCTCCAAAATCCTGCAGGGCTACAGTAAAATAAATGATGGTTAGAAGTCTAGGTTGTCCATTTAGACATACATGTATAGGGGGTATAGTTACGTATGTAGATGTGGGAGTATAGTATCATCATACAGAATTTTCGGTCTATTATTACCACAAACGCGTAATTGCCATTAAAACTGTGCACATCACAGAATATGGCTGTGAATGGTTAATAATAGAATTGTATATTTTTCTCCAGGCATTTTTTCAAACAGCTTCTGAACATTAGAAGCATAACTGAGCCTTACTCAGTTGACACTTACCCGTTGTCTACATTATCATGCTTTCCATACGGCACACAATGCGGTTTACAATAATAATGGTTAGCATAGACACTGTTAATATTGAAAGTTATTGTCCTTGATTGAGAAAAACTTTAGGATAAAGGCAGAACTCCTCATTTCCAGCCGTGCCTCAATTGGTTCTGGCTGTATTGTAAACTGTTACTAATTGTTAGAAAGTTAAAAATCAATGTTTTAATGGGAAATGTAGTTAAACATGCCGTCAGTTTTAATGCAGTTTTACACTGAAAAACCAAAATTCTTGTGCACAACAGCTGTTACAGTTTTATTCTGAAACTCTTTCATCTCCGGTTGGCGTTAGCGTGTGGTAAAATTTACAATTTCCAAAAGAGGTGAATTTAGTAGCGAAATTATATGGAGTGGCTGCAAACCGAAGCCTACTGGATTACACTACAACTATAGATGTCGAATACTAGCTCATGCTGAATTATTAATGAGGTACGTTTTAGAAATATTGGTTACAGACGAGAGTGCATGTGGACAACTTCCGGATATGTACCGGAACCATACGATGTGTCCGAGAAGTTTTTTTTAGAGTATGTATACGCAGGTTAGAATTGTTAATGAATAAGTGATTTGATGAAAGATGAATATGAGGAGAAAAGGCGTGTGTTATGCATATACTTGAATGTGAAAGAACTCAATTTCCTCTGTTTAAATGCATGTACAAGACTAGGAGACGAGGCGATGCCGTGGCGTTGGGAGGAGCAGGCAGAAGGATATTCACAGCACCGATGTAGGATCGGTCCTCTCCTTCCCTATACCGAAGCGGATCCACTCCTCAGGCGTTTGACTGAATACATATGGTGAATTCGGCGGTCTCTTAATTAAAGTACCCAATTAAAAACTTTCACAGACTCCATATCCTAATAGCTCTCTCCTGGACGGGAGAATAACGAACACGACTTCATTGTAGTACGTGTGGTTAATTCATGCTATATGCTAGCATGCATTGAGTTGGTTTGAAAAAACTTACAGCGACCTTAAATGTTCCAGCTGGGGCTTTCCTCGCCTTTCCCTTCTTGTAGAGCATTTGATAAAGTATGTTCCTTGTTCATGTCATAAGATGTAATTTGGAACATATTATCATGTGGAGATGCCAGATGTAAGTGGAAATAAAATGGGTGTTGGCCTTGTGATTCCAATGTGTCCTTATATCTTGATCTCAGTATGATATCGAGACTGCCTATGCTGTGACCCCTCTGTGTGTAACAGACCGTGTCATGGAATTAATTGGTCGTATCAGACATCAGTGACACATGTCAATGTACCATAGTAGTGGTTATGCTTCACCTGTAGCGTGACCGCTGACTGCTATTAGTGATCTGCAGTGCATTCTAAAAAGCCAGTGTGTATCTACGTGGCTTTTCCATATTTCAAGGCATTATCGTGGTATTTCGCAGCCATGCAGCGATGATTAGTTCTGGTGCTCTCGGACGAAGAGAAATGAATGGTACGCGTCGCTACAATTTTCTGGGAGGTAAAAATAGCCTCACCAGTCGAGTGGGGGGGTGACTGCGTTGGATCAGCTCGTAGTATTGTTGTTTGGCGCAAACATGCAAAAAATGACCGTGTAAACGTGATCTTTGCACTTTGGATTATATTGGTTGCCCTAACAACACTGCTGACATGGACAGTAAGTAGGCAATGATGATGTTATTCTTCAATGTTTGGCGTAAAAGCTTTTACAATGTG